TTGGTTGGATGGATGATGGATGATGTATGTGTGGATGAATGGATAGTTGGATGGATGGTTGGATGAATGATAGTTGGATGTGTGGTTGATTGGTTGGATGAATGATGTATGTGTGGTTGATTGGTTGGATGGATGGATGTATGTATGGATGAATGATAAGTTGGATGGATGATGGACAGCTGGATGAATGATAGTTGGATGTGTGGTTGATTGGTTGGATGACTGATGCATGTACGGATGTTGGTTGGTTGGATGGATGATGGTTGGATGGATGTTGGATGGAGGTTGAGTTATTGCAGCAGGTTAGAAAAGATCTTTTCCCAGGAACTCTGTAGATCTGGTGAAGCTCAGATGTCCCAGCTTTTCACTAGCCTTGAACGCAGCATTAGCAGTTAGAAGTCTCACAGCTGATCCGTGCACGTGTACAGAGTATTCCTACCTGTGCACGTTGATCTCGTACCAGCCCGTGTTTACCGTGAACACTGATCTGGTCTTCATTCCTGCGAGGCCAGAAGTGCACGTGTCTGGTTGTGCACGTAAGAAGTGTGTAGGAAACAGGACGATGCACACGTTGTCTCAGCATGTGTGTTTAATGAGCGAGGTACAAGCAGCTCGCTGAGGTGTGTGTGTGTCCGTGCAGATCGGCACGTACCAGATGGCTCTGAGCTCCACGGCCCACAACAAGCCCTTCTACGTGGTCGCAGAAAGCTTCAAGTTCGTGCGCCTGTACCCTCTGAACCAGCAGGACGTGCCAGACAAGTTCAAGGTGAGGTCCAGCTGCAGGTCCCGGTGGTCCCGCTCTGCTCGCTCTTCACGTCTGCTCCTTGTTCCACAGTACAAAGCAGAGACCCTGAAGAGCGTGCAGAACCTGTCTGACGAGCACCCCGTCATCGATTACACCCCGCCCTCTCTCATCACGCTCCTCTTCACGGACCTGGGGGTCCTCACGCCGTCGGCCGTCAGCGACGAGCTCATCAAACTTTATTTATAACGGCCTCGCACACAATAAAAGCTGCACACGTCTACGACGCTTTGTGTTTTAACTTGGGGAGAGTTACTCGTTGCTCGAAGTCCTCCTCGCTGATCTGACCTTTCTTCAGCTTCTTGAGGAGGCGAGTGTCGTCCAGAAGCTCCTCCAGGTCTTCATCGTCCGAGCCCTGCGGAGACAACACGCGTCACAGCTGGCTCCTCAGTCACCTGATGACATCATCGCACACTGTAACCATGGAGACCACATCAATTTAACTTAGAAAATTAAATTCAGGGGCTGCAGATGGAAACGAGCTCAAAGCTTCGGTTCGATCGTTCGACCGCCTCGTCCTGAACCTCCATCCAGGCTCTGGACCAGCAGTCCTTTAGAGTCTTAAGTGTTTTTACACGACAACACATCAAAGTGAAATATTTACATTTGATGCTGTTTGTGGCGACCGACGTCCCCGACACTCAGGAGTTTAAATCTAAGTGTTTGTAGTTTTGGAGGCGAGTGTTTTTCTGGATGAACTGAACAGAATCAAGTAAACCTACATGTTTTTAGAAGAACAAAGGTAGGTTTTTTTCTTGTCTGACGCAGACCTGGTGGGTGGAGGGAGACATTTTATCCACCGCCAGGTGCAGAGGCGGAGCTAAGGGGTGGCCAATGGTGGCCTTGACCCCCATAAATGAATATTCAGCCACTTTAATCATTTGAGTAAACTTTAGTTTTAATCAATAAAAACTAGAAAGCACAGTGGCCTGAAATGATCTGCAGGGTTTCACCTACCTTGGTACAAGCGGGGCGCCCCGCCTACTGAACCGAGCGCACCCCCACCTGACGGCACCAAACTAGCAGCTCACGACAGGCGCACCAGCTAAAATGCTAAAAGCAGCTGCCCCCCTCCCCCACCCGCTCAAAAACTGGGTACAAACGTCTGCAGCTCAGACGTGTTTGAACTTCACGCCCTCTTCAGGACGTCTGCGGACACAGAGCTGCTGCCGCAGGACCAGCTCGTTACATCTCGGTGCTGATGAGAATCGAACAAGCGGATCTAATAATGTGGCCGATGAGTGGACTGTGAGCACATGACGGACAGATTCAGGGGTTCTGGACCCTGTCCGTCCATCATCTTCCTCTTGTTCTGGACTCAGGTCTCAGGGGCAGCATCTTGAGCTGGGAGGTCCAGCCACCTCTTCTGGGAGGACTCCAAGGAGTTCCCAGACCAGCAGGGAGATGTAGTTTCTCCAGAGTGTTCTGGGTCTCCTCCCAGTCAGACATGCTGGACCTCCTCAGCTGTCTCCTCTGGATGTGGAGGATCAGAGGTTCTCCTCCGAGTCTCTCCTGATAACTGAACTTCTCCCCCTGTCTCTGAGAGAGTCCAGCTCTGCAGAGGAAACTCATTTCAACCTCCTGGATCTACGATCTCATTCTTTCAGTCTCTACCAGAGTTCATGACCAGAGGTGAGGGGAGGAACGTAGACCAACCAGTAAACAGAGAACTTTGTCTTACAGCTCAGCTCCCTCTTCACCACAATGGACCGGCACAGAGTCCACAATACTGCAGATGCTGCACCGATCCATCCGTCAGTCTCACGCTCCATTCTTCCCTCACTGTGAACAAAACCAGAGATACTTGGACTCCTCCACTGGAGACAGAACCTCACCCTCGACCTGAAGACAACAATCCACATTGGAGGTGCTGGTTCTCATCCCAGCTGCTTCACACTCGGCTGTGCACTGCTCCAGTGAGAGCTGAAGATCATGATGACACCAACAGGACCACATCATCTGCAGAGCAGAGATGAATCCTGAGGCCACTGAACTGGACTCCCTCCGCCCCCGGCTGCACCGAGAAGTTCTGAACAGAATCTGAGAGAACGAGCAGCTGGAGGGTCCGACTGACAATGGGAACCGAACTCTCGCACCGCTGGTATAGAGACTGAACAGCCCGTAACAACGGGCCCCCGTCCCCCCATTGAGCGCCTTCTTCCTGCCCGTGTTGAATAAAATACCTCCGTGTGTTTCCTCTTTGCTGCCAGCTTTTTGCGGCGCTCCTTCTTGCTCTTCTGTTTGGACCAGGACTTGTTCTTCATGAAGCTCTTCTTAGGAAGTCCTGCCTGGTCCTTCTCCTTCAGCTCCGCCAGCATCTTCTTCCTCTGCCTCTCTCTGTTCTTGTCCTTGTAGCGGATGCTGTCCGTGTCCACCTCCGTGAAGTCGGGAAACGATTTCCCTCGCAGCTCCGGCATCTTGGGCAGGCGGAGGAGGGCGAAGCCTCGGGCCAGAGAGGCGAAGTCCAAGTCTGGACAGGATCAAAGGATACGATCATTTAAACGTCGAGCGTTTATCGTTTGTAGTCATGAACATCACCTTTGACTTTGAAGATGAGGCTGCACTCGTGTTTGGCGTAGGCCTGGACGTACGAGACGAAGGCCTTCATGCCTTTTTCAAACATGGCCCGGTCCTCCAGGGACATGGTCTTCACCTTGGACAGGACGTCCACCACGTCTTTGACTGGCGCCATCTTCTGGAGTGGACACTGCAGAGGAGGAGATCATTTAGCCCATCTATTCTGTCTGCTTTAATATTATTATTATTAATAACGTGTGACAGATGTTGGCTCAGTTAATTCTTCAGTTTCAAACTACATGTTCAAATAAATTACAATAAAGTTCATATTTATTTTATTTATTTGATATCGTGTCCGTCAGTTTGCAAACGAGCATCTTGACCACCGTTTTTTCTCTTCAGAATTACTTTAATAATTTTATTAAAGTATAAAACTGCCAGCTTTTATGCTCAGAAGCTTCAAATAAACATTTTTAGGAGAATTAGTTACGAGTTGCAGAATAAATAGTTTTCAATACGTTTCCATGTTGCCTCAAAAAGATTTCATTAATAATAAAAAGAGAATAAGTTTGACGGTGATAAAACCAATTTTAAAACGGCTGCAGACCCAAAACTGAACCTACTTTCTGGTTGATGGACAGGAAGTTGACGTACGATTCCTCCATGGGAAGCAGAAAGACGAGGGCGTTGCCATGGTTACCGATACGCGCCGTCCGCCCACATCGATGCACAAAGGCACTAAAATGAAAAATGAAGTGAACGCACAAACGAGTGCACCAAGAAGAGTTTGGTTGAAGCAACGCGTCTTAATTCCAGAGGCCTGGAGCTCCAACGCACAAACGTTCTGACCTGGCGCTGCTGGGGGGGTCGTACTGCAGCACCCAGCTCACGTCGGGGATGTCGATGCCTCGGGCCATGACGTCCGTACACACCAGGATCCCGCTGCAAACAAACGCAGGTAAACAACCACGTGCACAGTGTCCAACCCCAACGTCACGTGCTTTACCTCTTCAGGGTCCGGAAGTCGGCAAAGATGGAGCTGCGCTTGTTTTTAATTCTGCCGTGAATGCAGCGCACGGCGACCTTCTTCACCAGCAGCTCCAGAGCTCGACCGTAGTACTCCACACAGGCGCAGGTGCTGACGAGCACAACGAGTCACTCAGCATCAACACGTTCACACGACCACTTCGTACCGTGCTCTGCAGCCAGCGCTGGCAACCACCAAACTGGTTTCAGCGCTGGCAACCACCAAACTGGTTTCAGGACGCGACCACTTC